ATCGGTTCTGAATGACAATATGTGTAGTACCCATATTGATGCATTTAGTAATTAACTCATATTTTTCTACATTTCACATCCCACCCTTTCACCTGTTTTTACCAGAATTGTAACGGTGGTCTATTTTTTGGCTAAAAGCTTGTATATAACTCGCTAAAGCTTAAATACAGTACAATACGATACGAATATAGTGCAACAGTGCTAAAATGAAAACCTCTTTTGGCAATCTAAATTTGTCGGTTCTTCTGTGAGAATTTAACAGGTGATTTCACATCGTGTTTCCCACTTTGAGTTATCGGCCAGTGGAATTTTGTTATTCTCAGCTGCGTGCTTCTACGGTCCCGCAGTATGAGAGGTATTGTGTGAAAATTCTTCCATTATCCACGTAGTTATGCAACTGCAACGTGGACATGAAATGGACAAAGCCTTACACACACACACACACGCATACACACACAAAAAAACGGATCGACGTGTGTTTGTTGACCCGGTGAGTGTCGCAAATCACGTCACGTTCTGCTTGCTTCTTCTTACGCAGTGGAAAATCGACCCATTTTAATGGTTATCTGTGATTTGAACGTTTCTATAGAATGCGTAATAAATAAATACGAAGGAAGACAAAGGTTCTCAAACAATCTAAATATTGTACATTTTTTGAATTAGTTGCCAATGTGAAAGTGTGAACAGCTTATACGGAACCCATAACTTGATGACCAGATTCGCTATGAATGGACAAAGTGACAAAGATATTTACGTTAATAAAATATCCACCTCCCACCATACTGAGGCTTTTGGAGACAATGTGATGTATAGGTACAGAAAAATAATTCTGTCCATTCCACGGAAATCAAACGGCTGTTATGCTTACAGGCTGGAAGATCATTTTAGTCGATGGATTATTGACGCATATGTGACTTGACTTTGTAGATCATTTTGCGTTCAACTTTGATGTTCTGCGGTTTCAGGAAACGTTTGTATTACGTCTTCTATTGGTGAAACAGCCCAAGTGCAAGTTTCCTCCGTGGTCATGGAAATCAAAAAAGAAACCATATTGATCATTTGTTCAAGCTGCAAGTGCAGGAAAGGTGCATGCCCAAATAGAGTAAGTGCAATTATTTACCCAATTACGGATAATTATTCACCACATGAAGTAAAGTAAATAATTCCTTAGATACCCCATGCACTTTGCATCGTATATCGGAATTTACAATGGTTTCGGCTAATCTTACCTGGTTGTGCAACCACAATGTCCCTCTACGCCCGGAAGAAATTTCATCCAAATATTTCTAGTTAATTCACAAATTTTTCATTCCTACACCTCAAAAGCAACCTAGTAGACGAGTAGAAGCATTGGGTGATATGGCTGAAAGTTGTAAACATGCTGATTCATCGACCAAAGCCTTCGCACTTAAACACTTGGGTAACAACTGTACAAACGAAACAGAAAGGAACTTCACTTTTGAATTACATCTCTGCACCTAAATCGACTTTTCTGTGTTGCACATTATTGTTTCCCAAATGAAGATGATGTTAACTGATCAGGTGCTTCATATCACAAAAATCACGCAAAGGTATATTCTCAGCACCCTTGTTTCTCCAAAAATGTTTTTCGAAATACACGCGATGGATCGAGTTCTCGGATTTTTGCAATTTCCCTTGGACGATGTAGCTGTAATGTACAAATAGATTAGTCAGGCAGAACCTTGAAGGGTCGTATTTAGCAGTCTATAACAACAACCAAAAAGTTCTACCGGCCAATATATTATATTATTTTTGTGTAGAATCTGAGTTAACCACAAATGGAAAACAAAACCAAATAAATTTTATTCTACCGCATTTCGTTAAAACTTTGGTTATCGTACACACGCTTATTCGGGTCTTGATAAGAAGAGAGGGTGTTTGCTTTTTCGAACGGATAGTGAGTGTTCAAACGAAGGTGCACGGAAACTTAGGTGTAGAAGCAATGGCTGTGTGGGATGTATACCATTGCTTCTGCCGTAGATAAGGCACAAGTTTGATAGGTCTGATCGTAAGTGAAGCAACGGGTCCTTGTGAAACACTTGTGGGTTCGTATAGTCAACAGCATTTATTCTGAAGTAAACTTTGTTCCAAATAATAATAAACATGTCTCAGTGAGTCTTTATAAACGTGATTTTCCTGACTCGTTTATACGTAGCAGGTGGAATTTTTCAGAGTGTAGCGGATATTCCCATTTCGTCAATGGTGGCTGACCTAGACCATGATGAGTTAAGGGGTAATTAAAGAGAATGGAACAGTTTTTATTTACAACAAACTAACAGTGATAATAATTAAGATGTACAGTTTGTGTACACTAATAGTCAATTGGTCTGTCTTTAATCTTTAGGACTTTTTCGAGTCTCTTCGGCATAGAATCCACCAAATTTGTTATGAAGTCATTTCTATTTTATGCTCCATTACGTATCGCACATTTACCTCCAATGTCCAGTGTACAGGTAGCACACTGACATCTTTCATCAAAACAGAAAACAGATTTTCAATCACATGGAGATCCGGGCTATTAGGGGGAAGTTGCATGAATTAGACCTTGAAGCCATGCATCGTTTCCGAAGGCTAAAAGCAAATAATAGGTGAACCAAACTCCTTAACTAAATAAACTTACTAATCTCTCGTGAAAAATGACGCGGAGCGTTATCCTGTGAAAAAATTTCATTTGGTTATTCAACAGAGTTACTATTGTGGATTATATATAGGGGAAAATAATGCTTCACAACGAAAAATCGAGATAGTAAGGGTTTATGGAAATAATTTGGGGTAATTCTTGAGTCAATCCTGTTAGAAAATATTGCATTTTCATACTTGATAAAGCTTTTGCGATTTCCATGTTGAGATTACCTAATCTTGACAACCAAGGCCAAGCACGTTTAGCTGAGACTCATGCAGCCTAGAAACTAAGTCGATCGAAGTAGACATGATATAAATTATTGTTTACACCTAAACCAATAATACAGGTGATAAATATAGTGAAACTGAATTTGATCATGAAGAAAATATTTTGGTGTATCACAGTCGGCCAGTACTGTAATTCCCATAGATCAATGACTGTAAACCAAAAAGCATGAGTGGATTAAGTGCCTCAGTCAGATTAACGGCGTAACACGGCTCCGTACAATTGTGATATATCCACAAGATAGTGCAGGACGAGGAGAGAGTTGTTTATTGCGAACAACGCTAAGGATCTCGTACAAACAACAAAACGTCTCGATCGGACTTCCTACAAGAAGGCAGGTTAACTGATGAAGCGGTTCACCGTTAGATGTTCATTGCCCGTAATTACCACTTCGAACACAGCAATTCTTTCTAGGAGGTCTTGTTCATTTCTGATCGTTGTGAGAAACCACCAATCACATTCTTGCATAATCCAAACATACTACTTACAAATGTGAGCAGCACTTCACAACATAATGTTTTTACTCGTTTGGTCATTTACATAGTTATTGACTGATCTGCCATTACCCCAGCTCAGTCGTCATGTTCGTTCCGACTCCTAAGACATACACATTGGTCACTTGGACAGGTCCACTGATAAAAGGGCTTGTCGCCGTAATGTGCAGAATATTACCCTCGCAGTAGCAAGACATCACAAACTGAAAACGGTGTGCATAGAAAAGGTTCATTTTTCGAAGCCTTTTGGGACCTAGAAGATTGAACGAATGTTAATGAAATAGCTGTACCACAACGGTGTTTTTCCTTTGATGAACGAGAACATCATTGTCTGGGCTATTGAGGGAATTGGGTAGGGGAGTAATAGGATATAATTAGTGCGATTATTTTGTTTCTAAATGTTTGACCCTTCCAGCATACTAACAACATGAAATTACCTCGTGTCGAGAAGGAAGCCGTTTTTGGTACCATATTTTTCTTTACTTAGATGCAGTATTATGCAAAGTGAGAAAGCTTCAAATTCCTTTGAGCTGGTTATTTCATGTTATTCTCCGCAAATCGCCGCAATATGAAGGTGGTTGTTTCGTGCGACTCGATAAACAGAAGAACATTTTTCATTCCTTCACTGTCCTACGACACTGAGGATGGTTAGTGAAAAGAATGTTTGAGTGGAACATACCTTTCGAACATTGCAACTACACCCAACACTGGAGAAAACTGAGAGCAGAATAAAAAAACGCTTATCGCTCGTATACCTACAGCTCACTATAAATGAACGGCAGCTTTGGGGTAGTGAAAACATTCACCCTATTTAGTCTCGATTTAACTGAATCAAAAGCTTTCCTCAAAATCGTTGCAGAAAAAGTACGTTTCATCATCGACCAGGCGCACTTATGCGGATCGCAGTACAGTTACACTCCTGAGTATTTATCGTCCATTGAGATGAGCAAATTTGTACTCTGACCCATTGGGTAGTTTCCTATCAATATCTGTAAGACCCGATATTAGGCATTGACAATCAATCCAACCTGAACACTTGTGTGCCTTACTGAGCACAAACGGACAGGCGTGTAGATACACACTTCAACAAGCATACACACCCACACTTGCACATACCTGTAACCCCAGAGTGAAAGGAATAGACTGAGTAACAATTAGATCCTCATAGTCGTCTCCTGAAATTTGTTGTATGTTTGCGCATTTATTGCACAAAAGCACTGTCAATGTGTATACTCTTCAGCAGATAAATTACTAACAATCCCATGCACGTCTCACCCCCAAGTAGTACAAAAACGGAAAAGACGAAATCTTTTTAAAGTTCATTCCAGGTGAACCAATTGAATTGATTGAACCAAACAACCAGTCATAACCCTCCTTCATCCGTTCACCGTCGTTTGTGTGTGCTTCGAAAGACACGATGGGCAGGCAGTATGTAGAATTTCCGTGCAAGAAACGATAAAAAAGCGCCAACCCCCGATTTACTCACAAATATCGATGTTGTGAGTGAGAAAGTGAACCGGTAATAGCACTTATTTGTGTTTATTTGGATACGGTGTGCGACAGTTTCACTCAGCACCATGTCCCTGAAAAACACCGGCGTTCGTTCATTCATCCTGCTCTACCTGAAATCGTTCTCGGTCAATACGAATGATGAAATTGACGAGAAGAAATTGTTGGATTACATGAGTCGGGAACAAAGACGCAAATCCATTGTGGATCGAATGAGTCAAGTCACATTAACTTTTGAAGAAGATTCGGCTGTTTTGAGCAAACCGCTATGGTGGTCCACCAGTTCTGGACAACGATTGCCCTACACACAGTTACGCGAAGCCTATGTATTTGGGAAAGATAACAAACGAATCGCTATCGACATTTTTTCCTTAGATACACGTCAACGTCGAATACTCTTGTTCAAGGCACGCAATTTAGATGAACGGGAAGCTCTAATCGAGTTGATTACCCATCGAAAAATGGCACGTGAAATGTACGAGAAAGACAATGTGCATCAGGTGCAATACGCAAATTGGTCATCCACCTATGCTGATGATGTGAGCCATCAAGGTTCTGTTCCTCATTCACCGGTATCTTTTGTATCAGAACAATCTCCACCGGAATCGCCCGGATTTACCAAACCCCGGGGTCAGAGCCTGGCTCGTCAGTCACTTGATCCACAACTGAAGTATATGACGTTAGAAGAGGAAACACCTGAACGTTTACAAATAGTTCCGGTCGGTTTGAGCTCAATGTCCAGAAAACCTATGCGCGAAATCTCATTACAGTCCGGGTGGAACGATATGGATTCCAGCCGAATGGCCATGGAACCGTGGCGCGGAGATGGGCTAAGACATCCGGGAATGATGACCTGCTGTGGACAAGGGCATTGTCATCATAACCACCAACCAACTCCACAACATACGAATATTAATATTGTATTCAGCGGCCAACCTGGAATGCCCGGGGTTGTGACCAACTCCACAACTGGATCCAACACGGATTTATCACAAATAAATTTGCAAAGGTCATTTACTCCCACTCGCACTACTCCAATCATACCGGAAGAAGTTGAAGCCCATCGAATGATGAATACACAGCAAACTCTTTCGCGAGTTCAATCTCCACCGTCGCAATGGGACTATTCGGACAGTACAACTGGAAATGGTGTCCGATTTATCGAGGCCAACGGTCCTGGTGTCTACGCCGCCAGTTCCAAAAGCCTCGGTCTCAAGTTCAACAATATTCGAAGATATCCATCGCAGACAAACTTGATGAAGACAGAGAAAACCCATGTGAGTGGAATGGGCAATAGGACTCAGTCACAACCAGATCTGACAATAAAGGTAAATGGAAACGAGATGGCACGCACTTTATCCCGAGACGAACAAAACCATGTTAATTCCTCCTCGCATACAACCGCATACAACGTGACGTATGCACCAACATTACAAACAAGGGCCCCAAAAGAGACAGAACACAAATATCATACCACATTGGTAACTAAAACCGGAACTTTAAATACTCCGCCCGCAAGCAACTGGACAATTACTCCCACACGCACAGATCACTATCGGGATGAGATGTTTGCAGAAAAGATCACAGAAACGACTGTCCGATCAAAACCAACAGCTAGTCGGGAAATTCACATCATACCGTCTAAGAGTCAGAGCCAGTTTTCCGAAGCGCATCATGGATGGGCTACAGAGACACAATTTTACCAAGTACGCAATAATGCTTTAGCAAAAATTACCCAGAACGGATCACGCTACTGGTCTGTATCATCACGACCTGCTACATGATCATTTTGTTCCAAACGCTTCTGCAACAAAAGTGTTTTACCATAACTCTCTATCTCCCATCTAATTCTAACCTCAATTTATTTGCCGTCTGCTATCATATGAACAAGTGTTTACTGCTGATAAATTCACTATCTGTATTATTATTCTGAATGGCCCTAAATCCTAATGCTGAGATCATATCAAATGGAGACGATAAATATATAACCATAGTGAATTTTAATTTGAAAAGTATTTTTTCTTCAATTTCAAGGATTGGATATCATTTGCTATTGAAATGAGCGCAATAAAGATTACCCGAAAGCTTTTACTTAAGGGTCTCTTGACGAATGAACCATTCCTGTTATTCGTCATCTTCAGTCTTCAAGCGCGTTCACATAAAAGTATCAAGTTTCGCTGTCTGAATGATTCCATTACGTCACATGCATGAACCGCGGTAGATTGTACAACCCCGAAATCGTAATAGTCATTTTGACCATTGGCATGAGGAAAATCTCGTTTAAAATACAACACATTTATTCTGTGCTTCAATACAGGAAAATGAACGATAAAATTTGCTCCATAATTTAGCTCTTCTTGAAAACACAAGGATTCAAATGTTACCGTTCGACCGAATTGCAGTCATATGGCAAGGTTAACTTGACGCGAGTGACCGAAACTCAAGAGTAAATGATTGTCAGAGAGATCAAGGTGTCAAACGCCAGAGAGCAAAGTCAGTGGTAACAATGGTAGAAAAGTATCAGTGTAACTGTCGTGCATATTAATTAAGAATGCATATGATATCAAGTCAAGTCAAGTCAGTAGTAGCTTTATGCACCGGATGGGTGTATTTTCAGCAGTATGAAGGCAGTTAGGCTGGATATGGTTCTAAAGTGTAATAGAAAAAGATGAGAACCCATCATAAAAATGAACCGAACATTTCAGAATGGACGCTAATCAGATCTAGTAAAGAGGAAGAGACTGTGATGCAGTAGGAAAACCCTTCGTCTCGTGATGCGATTCGAAAGAGACGAGAGAAGCCAGATGGATAATACGAAAAATAATGACCATGCAGAAATTAAGATGAAAAATGTAGTAAATAGAAACAAAACTCAAAACCGGGTTTTACTAATCATCGTTATCCGAGAAACGCATCTACCGATGTTTCTACAGTGACTTTTATCGATTACTGCAACATGACGTAAATCTCGCGGTGTACTTTGAGTATGGATTCAAATCAAAATAGACTTGGTATACGTTTAGCGCTTCTGTTGCTCAATAAGTACGCTGTTGAAACAACAGTGATTCACAGGTTTCGCCCTATTATTCGATATCATGCGTCTGGATAATGATCGTAATTTCATTGGCGCAGTTCACAGCCTATGTATGATCTTGACTATACATGATAGCTGAATTCAGCACAGGAAGCAGGCTGTCAATTTGGGGTTATTTCTAAATACCCTTAAGACAGGCTAATTCGTCTGAACAAACAAGTCACCCGGTAGGTTTAGAACGCCTCCGATCACACACATTCAGCATACGAACTAGTTATGTTTGAAACATGAATTCAAAACAAGAGGCACACTAAGATCATACATATTGGGAAAAAAGAGCATCGCTAAGAGCAGCAGTTTGTCGATCGATAGGTTCTTCAGAATCCTGAGAAACCGTTATACAATACACGCTCATAGAGTATTTAATCTACTGATTCCACTTTAACTTCATTTATTCGTTTATTCACATAAACAACTTGCGTGCTATGTTTCTTTGCAAAATGTCACAATCTAAGCATTCTGTGACTGAAGGTACGCTTTAAGAGGTAAACAGCTATTGTATTGGAAAGTTGTGTGGTACTATGTGATCAACCTTGGGTCTCACTTTCTATCACAAAGCGTCAGGTTATGATGGGCCTATTGATCAAGGAATCAAAAAAGCTTACCTTGCTGTAGGATCGAATAATTTTGCTGTTCATTAGTTTAAATCTCTTTCCGCATCGAGTAGAGCTATTCTAAAGAGCTCGATACGACATGCGATGATTCGATGTTATGAGAGCACAATCGATCTGATAACTCGGGAGAAACTGATACAATCTTGTCAGACGTCCACTTTGGATAGCCAAGTGTGCTTATTCAATGTCCGGTGCAAATGCCAGTCGCTATGCTGGATAATATCCTTCAAACAGGACGCTAAAACGAAACGAATCATACTGGCACCGCATTCTGACGTATACACTCATTCAATTGCAAGTATTTTCCCCGAATTAATATCATGTGTGGGAGGTTTTATCGGATTGAGAGAACCACTGCCACGATCCGAATTTGATCCTCATTTGTTACTGCAACCGCCCATCCATCCAACCAGCCAGCAAGGCAGTCATGCACAGGTCCTTTAGATAAGATTAGTATTCGACTCATATTCCGATCGAATCTACTTTAGCTGAAGCAAACATCCAAACGAACGGCAACGTCTCTTCTTCTTCTCTGTCCAAGAAAAATAAGTATAATTGTAAAAAATCACACATACAGTTAAATAGTCTGCATTGTCACTCCATCGCAATCAGTAGAAAGTAATTCAAGTGGAATCCGAATGCAAGCGTTTAGATATCTTCGGGGAAGCAACATTCTGTCAAAATTTTAACCTTTTGCTGTGTGTAGGAGGGGGGGGGNACACTAATATGAATAAAAGACTTAGAGCAACATTACAGCAATTTCCAATTTCTCATTTCCCGTTTTCTTTCTTCCGTATTTCACTAAATTCAATATTCTTCCGCTATGCAACAACTGTGCAGTAAATAGTTCAGTATGTTTCCAACGACTGTCACTCACCGACAGAGAAATATTTAAAATATTGAATTGGTATGTACAATAAACAGTTTCGTCGAAGGTGGGAAACATTTTATTATCATGAAAGAAAGTCTTTCACAGAATAGGCTTCTTAAATGATGTGCTAGGAAGTTACACTCTCTGCCTTCTCTTAGAAGGATGTTTTCACTAAATTGTGGGAGCTAAAAGACAAAATCCGGGTTTATAAAAAAAGGTTAATGAATCACGGGCAACTAGTTTATCCATAGGATTATGGACATCTTGATTAGTAACCTACCAAACGGAGGATTTTGAGCTTGTAGCACTGGTTGAAACGGTCACAGGTTCAGTTGGGCTGTAGAGTATTTTGGCTACCCTTGATGTTACCAACACTTCCCGAAGATCACAAATCGGATTGGCTGGGTACTGGTTCTCAATAAACCGTGGTTTTTGCGCNCCGCTCTACGATTTTATGAAACTGAAATGCTCCTGTTGTCAACTCTAAATAAAGCACCTGCTTTTGGTTTGGAAACACTTCAATCAGTGAATTTTTTACAGAAAGGTCCTTGATGTGTTTGACTCAGTTTCGAGCTAGATAAGTAGATACCAGGGGAATAAAATAATCATTTTGAAAGTGATCCAATGTTGAAATAGTCTACCACAATACAATAGGCGTTTTAAATTCAAGAGATCGGAATCCTATAGAAGAAAATAACTTGTTAGTGCATTTATGGTCATGACAAGGATACCAACATCAGCATCTAATCCTTGTTGCCAAAACTGTTAGCTAAAAGGGATACGCAGTCATTTGACTTTGTTTTTCTATCAGTAAAGAATTTTGTTTACCGTAAACGGTACCTTACAGTCCGTTACCTTTAATCACCTGCCACTAAGCACCCACATATCTCACACTTGTTCCATTCATCGCAAACTAAAAACAGTCACGTGCCTGACACACGACACTAGTTTTACTCACAAATTCCCTCTTTCCGGCGGGTACACTATTTATCTCTCTCCCTCTTATTTAGACTGAAGAGACACAAAACGGACAAACAGGTTGAAGTAATTGCACTACCTATAGATCAGATATACTGGTTTTTATTTATATTCCTCTAGTCCTCACCATACTCCGACCTGCCTCAGTTAATGTATTACTGTTTAGAGCACCGAAAACGGCATTGATCGCACACTTTTGTTGTCTTCTTTCTCTGATTGGTTCTCACCAGGGCTGCCTATATATGATTAGTTCAAATCAGCTCTTAATACCACTTCCAACTTTATTTTGTATCTTTTGTCAATGGTATGGTTAATTTTAAAGCACGAGTTATTTGTTTGAATGGAAACCAATTTATTTAACTTTGACCATGAGAGAATTACCAGTTGGATATATACAAACGTTTACATTGTATAGATTCACAACCTCAGTACTTAGTCTGATTTCCCGGGGTCACCGATATCTGAATTTTAGATGTTAAGTTCGGAGTGAGTGAGAAAACATTAGTCTGCCTCGATGGCTTGTCAGTGGTTGTCTGTAACGGTAACTGCTTCTCTTCAAACAAAGCGGACAGACATACAGGTATTGATTAAACTCGCACAACAGTCTGACTTTCACAAGATTTGTTCCCCCTAACGCTTCATTCCCGCGATTGAATACGTTTTTTGTCCCACATCAGACAGAACATAGGTGCAATAATATCCAAGCATGTGTTTATTTTTCCTAATCGAATGCCATTTAAATGTGCACAATTTTATTTTAAGATGGTCGTTGGTGCACCAGTTGTAGAATAGCAAAGCCTCAGTGAAGAAATAACTATATTTTATTGATAAAATTGATTCATAAGCTTGATACAGGTATTTTACTTTCACGCTGTCAATCTTCTAGTTTCCCTTCTTCATTTTTGATCGCTTGAAGTAGTCCACCAAGTTGGCTGCTAAACAGAATTTACCAGTTTCCTCCAATACATGCAGCATCCTGACCACTGACTACTACTGTCGAGGTAGCTTACTTGCCCTGTTTCCGACACAGGGAGCAGATTTCGATTATATTCAAATCCCAACTGTGGGGCGGCAATTGAACGAATTCGACGTCGGAACCGAGCAATCCAGAGACCACATCAATGGGGGGAAAATATAATGAGGTCTGAATGTTTTATACATTTTATGCTGCTTTGCATCAAATAATTTTTAATTCTGAGCAGTCATTTTCATACTAGTACAAATGTT